AGGTACATTAAGTGTAGCAGGTATACAGTGTATGTATATTTTAGTTATATAGCGCTAACAGGTGTACTCAGTACTTTACAGGTTAGATTACAGTGTATGGATATTATATTTAGATAGAGCTAACAGGCGTACTCAGAACTTAACAGGTTACATTACAGTAGAGGGAGGTACGGTAAGTGCAGTAGCTCTACAGTGTATGTATATTTTATTTATATAGAGCTAACAGGTCTACTCAGCACTTTACAGGTTATATTACAGTAGAGAGAGGTACAGTAAGTGCAGTAGTTATACAGTGTATATATATATTATTTATATAGCGCTAACAGGTGTACTCAGCACTTTACAGGTTATATTACAGTAGAGGGAGGTACAGTAAGTGCAGTAGGTATACAGTGTATGTATATTTTATTTATATAGTGCTAACAGGTGTACCCAGCACTTTACAGGTTACATTACAGTAGAGGGAGGTACAGTAAGTGCAGTAGGTATATAGTGTATGTATATTTTATTTATATAGAGCTAACAGGTGTATTCAGCACTTTACAGGTTACATTACAGTAGAGGGAGGCACAGTAAGTGCAGTAGGTATACAGTGTATATATTTTATTTATATAGAGCTAACAGGTGCACTCAGTGCTTTACATGTTACATTACAGTAGAGGGAGGCAGAGTAAGTGCAGTAGGTATACAGTGTATGTATATTTTATTTATATAGCGCTAACAGGTGTACTCAGTGTTTTACATGTTACATTACAGTAGAGGGAGGTACAGTAAGTGTAGTAAGTATACTGTGTATGTATATTTTATTTATATAGCGCTAACAGGTGTAATCGGCACTTTACAAGTTATATTACAGTAGAGGGAGGTACAGTAAGTGCAGTAGGTATACAGTGTATGTATATTTATTAACATTGCGCTAACAGGTGTACTCAGCACTTTAAAGGTTATATTACAGTAGAGGAAGGTACAGTAAGTGCAGTAGATATACAGTGTTTGTATATTTTATTTATATAGCGCTAACAGGTGTACTCAGCACTTTACAGGTTACAGTAGAGGGAGGACAGTAAGTGCAGTAGGTATACAGTTAATGTATATTTTATTTATATAGCGCTAACCGGTGTACTCAGCACTTTACTGGTTACAGTAGAGGGAGGTACAGTAATTGCAGTAGGTATACAGTGTATGTATATTTATTAACATTGCGCTAACAGGTGTACTCAGCACTTTACAGGTTACATTACAGTAGAGGTAGGTACAGTAAGTGCAGTAGGTATACAGTGTATGTATATTTTATTTATATAGAGCTAACAGGTGTACTCAGCACTTTACAGGTTACATTACAGTGGAGGTAGTTACAGTAAGTGCAGTTGATATACAGTGTATGTATATTTTATTTATATAGCACTAACAGGTGTACTCAGCACTTTACAGGTTACATTACAATAGAGGGAGGTACAGTAAGTGCAGTAGGTATATAGTGTAAGTATATTTTATTTATATAGCTCTAACATGTGTACTCAGCACTTTACAGGTTACATTACAGTAGAGGGAGGTACAGTAAGTGCAGTAGGTATACAGTGTATGTATATTTTATTTATATATTGCGGTAACAGGTGTACTCAGCACTTTACAGGTTACAGTAGAGGGAGGACAGTAAGTGCAGTAGGTATACAGTTAATGTATATTTTATTTATATAGCGCTAACCGGTGTACTCAGCACTTTACTGGTTACAGTAGAGGGAGGTACAGTAAGTGCAGTAGGTATACAGTGTATGTATATTTTATTTCTATAGAGCTAACAGGTGTACTCAGCACTTTACAGGTTACATTACAGTAGAGGTAGGTACAGTAAGTGCAGTAGGTATACAGTGTATGTATATTATATTTATATAGAGCTAACAGGTGTACTCAGCACTTTACAGGTTACATTACAGTAGAGGTAGGTACAGTAAGTGCAGAAGGTATACAGTGTATGTATATTACATTTATATAGAGCTAACAGGTGTACTCAGCACTTTGAAGGTTACATTACAGTAGCGGGAGGTACAGTAAGTGCAGTAGGTATACAGTGTATGTATATTTTATTTATATAGCGCTAACAGGTGTACTCAGCACTTTACAGGTTACATTACAGTAGAGGGAGGTACAGTAAGTGCAGTAGGTATACAGTGCATGTATATTTTATTGATATATTGCGGTAATAGGTGTACTCAGCACTTTACAGGTTAGATTACAGTAGAGAGAAGACAGTAAGTGCAGTAGGTATACAGTGTATGTATATTTTATTTATATAGCACTAACAGGTGTACTTAGCACTTTACAGGTTACATTACACTAGAGTGAGAGGTAGAGGGGTGCAGAATTAGGATTAGGTAGATGGGTGCAGGTGCCCCAGGATTAGGAGGTGGTAGAGGGGTGCAGAATTAGGATTAGGTAGAGGGGTGCAGGACTCCCAGGATTAGGAGGAGGTAGAGGGGTGCAGAATTAGGATTAGGTAGAGGGGTGCAGGAGCTCCAGGACTAGGAGGAGATAGAGGGGTGCAGGATTAGGAGGAGTTAGAGGGTGCCTGTGGGTGTGAGTGACTCCATACACGTGCCTGGAGGATCACATTGCTGTGCGATGCACAGAGAGCAGGTGCAGGGCGGAGCTGGGGGGAGCAGGGAGGGGAAGGCTCAGTTTGGGGAAAGCTGCACAGTGATCTTTCTATAAGGTGAACAAGGAGCCTGAAAACTATGGTGACATAATTTACAGAGCTGCAATCCTTGCAGGCACAGAGACACGCTTAACATAGGTGGCACTCCTCCACAGGTGGCACTTAATCACAGGTCGAACTCCTCCACAGGTGGCACTTAATCACAGGTCGAACTCCTCCACAGGTGGCACTTAATCACAGGTGACACTCTTCCACTAGAGAAACGTTTTCACTAGACAGTCCTCCACAGGTGGCACTTCTTGACAGGTGACACTCCTCCACAGGTGAGTCAAGAGTCCATGACGTCCCCATGGTAGTTAACCAGGTTATATAAACTTGGTGAAGTTCATTATTCTGTCCATGTTGCAGTGCAGTCAGTGAGTGGTTCCTTCCTGGTTACAGTATTTATAACTGCCAAGATCATGTATAATATTAGATTATTATTATTATTATTGTTGTTGTTATCATTATTATTATTATTATTGTTGTTGTTGTTGTTGTTGTTGTATTTAGACAGTTATGGCTTACTTGTGGCAGTGCTGATACCTGGCATATATCCAGTCTGGCTCAGCATTATGGGGAATGTAGTTTATAGATATCTGTCAGTCACTGTTTAACCCTTTAATGGACTTTCTATATTTATTATGCTGCATTTTAATAAATATCTTCTTGTGTCTGGGTCTCTGCTATTGTTTACTTAATTCCATGTGACCTAGAACCAGGAATTGGTTTGAATGTTAGTGGGAAAACCCCTTAGCTTGAAATAAGGGAATAAGAATAAATGTATCATATATTTCCTCTGAGACAGTGGGGGTTCTGTGTGTAATTATTGTCTAATTTAATGTATTTTGGATGTTTTCTTACAAAGGCCCTGATTTAATATTTTTGCAAAAAACTTTTAAATGTATTGAATATTATGAAAACTTTTTAAATTTGGTATTTTTTTCATATATATATATCTACATATAGATATATATATATAAAATTGTTTATTCCTGATTCTCGGGTCCATATATATATATTTATATCCTAATATTTTGATAACATTGCCAGTACAGTGCAATATAATACAGTGTCATTACAGTGCAATATAAAGCAGTGGACAGTCTGGTACAGTGACGCAGTGGGCAGTCTGGTACAGTGACGCAGTGGGCAGTCTGGTACTGTGACGCAGTGGTACATCGTTATGGATTGGAGAGGAAAATAGAAACATTGTCTGTTTCTCCTTCACTTCCTCTGTTCAATGACAGAAAATGGCTGAAATCGTAACAGTTATTGACAACTCTGGACACATATATAGTGATACTCGCTATATATATATATACACACACACATTGGACTTCAGGTTTCCAGGAGCAGAGGGCGTCCCTAAGTGTCCCCGGGCGGGCCCTGAATACTGAAGCTGTCAGAGACTTTGTTTTCACCGCCAGGCTTTTGAAAATCGTCATGGTTGTAACACCCTGATGGCGGAATCGCTTCTCTGGCTCCGAGCAACTTGATGGGATCTGTTGATATATTGAGGACCCTGCGACATTGCAAGATCTTCTATAGACAATCTTACACGTGCGATACGGTGCTATAGGCTTCTATTGTGTATCACACTAAGTGATGCCTCTTCCCATCAGCCGATCTCACCAATGGCTGATACAAACTGGTGATGGGAACTCCAGCTTTATACCAGAGTTTGTCAATTACATGAGACAAAGTACTATCTATTATGTATGATGTATATCTTATTATTGCATTGGAATTTCAAAGAAACACAGTCAAACAGACCTTTTCATAAAGGTAATCAGGGTATTCACTAAAGTGAGACCCAGGAAATCAAAGTGAAATTTAAGGCCAAACTGACCAGACATTTTTTCCCCCTGTTTAGGTGTTTGGTCCTTTGAGGATATAGTGTCAGAAACACAAACATGTACTCTTGACACTATAGTTCTAAATGCACCATTTCGGCTTCTGACAGAGTGTGGAGACTCTGAACGTCAGTCACATTGTGCAACACTGACACAGGAAGCACCTCTAGCAGCCCTATGAGTGACAGCCACTAGAGGTATTACTAGGCAGTGATGTAAACAATGTATTTTTCTTTGAAAAGGCAGTGTTTATATTGAAAAGCCTGCAGGGGACTGACTGTAGACAACAGAAAAACTGCATAAAGCTGTACGTTAAGCTGTAGTTGTTCTGGTGACTATAGTGTCCTTTTAACTTTGAATTTCATTAAATGCACTTGACTGCTGACCCCAAATACCAAAACCGTTACCCCCAATAACGACATGACACCTGATTATTGGGTAAGGGCAACGGCCACAGCTTTATTAAACTTTTACACAGCCAGCATTTCCACCTGTCAGCTGTTGGGGTGACTACTCAACAGACAGATACTCCAAGTCTTTATCCAGAGTTCGTACAGCCTGCCTTCGGCCATCAGCCCTAGCAGGCTGCGACTCCCCAAATCCTTTCCGTGCATTACGTGCGCTGGCCAGGAACTCCGCCATAGCTGTGACAAAACAAGAACAGAAACAAACAACACCACAAGCCAAACCATCACATAGCATGCAAAATTTTTGGGGGAGGGCGGGCGGGAAACTGTTCCAGACTGCTCCTTCTGCACTGGTGAGTCCCACCCCCTGCTCTCCCTCTTATATCCCACTATATAGGCAACATTGTATCTTTTATATTCCCACCCCTTACTGCAGAGCAGCAGTCATGCCTCCCCTTCCTTGCAGTCCAGGGGATATCTTGACTGCTGACCCCAAATACCAAAACCGTTACCCCCAATAACGACATGACACCTGATTGTTGGGTAAGGGCAACGGCCACAGCTTTATTAAACTTTTACACAGCCAGCATTTCCACCTGTCAGCTGTTGGGGTGACTACCCAACAGACAGATACTCCAAGTCTTTATCCAGAGTTCGTACAGCCTGCCTTCGGCCATCAGCCCTAGCAGGCTGCGACTCCCCAAATCCTTTCCGTGCATTACGTGCGCTGGCCAGGAACTCCGCCCCCCTGCTCTCCCTCTTATATCCCACTATATAGGCAACATTGTATCTTTTATATTCCCACCCCTTACTGCAGGGCAGCAGTCATGCCTCCCCTTCCTTGCAGTCCAGGGGATATCTTGACTGCTGACCCCAAATACCAAAACCGTTACCCCCAATAACGACATGACACCTGATTGTTGGGTAAGGGCAATGGCCACAGCTTTATTAAACTTTTACACAGCCAGCATTTCCACCTGTCAGCTGTTGGGGTGACTACCCAACAGACAGATACTCCAAGTCTTTATCCAGAGTTCGTACAGCCTGCCTTCGGCCATCAGCCCTAGCAGGCTGCGACTCCCCAAATCCTTTCCGTGCATTACGTGCGCTGGCCAGGAACTCCGCCCCCCTGCTCTCCCTCTTATATCCCACTATATAGGCAACATTGTATCTTTTATATTCCCACCCCTTACTGCAGGGCAGCAGTCATGCCTCCCCTTCCTTGCAGTCCAGGGGATATCTTTCAGTTCTCACTTTACTGAATAACCCTCAGGCAGGGTTATTAACTACATTCTCCTAGCGATGCCTTCGGTTCGGCTTCTCCTATCTTAAACTTTAAATTATTTGTGAATACACTTTGAATTTTCACTTTAGAAAATAATGCAGGCAAAAATCCTGATGAAAACCCCAAAACTGACAGAAGCCACTTTAATGGCCCAGAGACCAAGTGGTCAACTTTGCTGATATTAGCTGGACGGTCTTGATTTTAGTGCTTTTGGGGACATCAGGAAACTGTCGCCAAAAAGTGTAGCGTGAGGGCATCGTTATATTCGCTCACACAATGTTCAGGACACTAGGACCTTCTGCATGTCCTGCATGTCCTGGACTTAGTGGGCTGGTCTGATCGATTAGCAGGCTACCTGCCAGTAATCTACCTCTCCTTCTTGGGACGCCAATGTTTGGGTGTATCCCAGTGCCTCCTAAATATAAAAAGAAATTTAAAAAAGCAATTTGGGTATAACATTCAAAATATGGAGGAATCCACAGCATTAAATTGGCTTCCATGGGAACCTCGCTATGTTTACAACTTTGCTCTAGAATTTCTCATCGCACAGAGGAATATTTTATTGATATTTCATTTAGTTTTCTGTTTATTTGTTTACTTGTTTATATTTTTTGCTTAAACTTGCTAAATTAAAGTAATGCTCCACTTCCCAAATACAAAAAATAACTGCCAACCACGATCCTGTGGCGGAAAACAATGCGTCCCTTCACGCAGCCCCTGCAAACCGCTGGCCTTACTTATAGATGGACTAACTCAAGAGCACTGCTGTGCACCAAAGAAGGAAAAACCTTCAAAGTTACCAACCCTACTGAGGGCCCGCAATTCTTACAAGGCCTAGGCCTGCCTGCGCCAGACCTGGCGACACTACCCCAAAGAGCCTGGGATGTTGACAACATACCTCCTTTCATTCCCAGGGGGGGAACGGGACACTCTCACTTGAATGAGACCTAGACTGTACAAGGTTTACGTCTATGCATTTGGAATTGCCCCCATAGTTTAAGGTTTTCTTGTTTGATAGTTTTGTATTTTTATTTTTCTGTAACACGCGCTTACCGCTTCCACATAGCTATTTTCACATGCTCCTGACGCTACTATACACACGACCTCAGAGGCCCAACCACTTGTTCAGCCACTACACACACTTACCCCTATGGGACCGTCTGACACTGAGACTTGCCTACCCTCCCCCCCAAACCGCACCACGAATCGAGGGAACTAAGGCACACACAACACACCTGGCCGGAACCCCACAAGCTACACTAGCAAGCAGACCACCAAAACCCCAGAAGGAATGCGACTAAGGTGCCACACTAAGATCCCCTAGCCCAATCCTCCATTCTCATTAGACTGAGCTACCTGTGTTAACCGGAGAATAACACATTCACCTTACGACGAGACAGCTCATCTTGCAAGGGCTGGTTTATAACCATATTGGGCACTACATATCATGTTCCCTACATGCCTCTGTTTACAGCATACAGATGTAACTTTGTAACACTATAATCCATGTACAAACTTCTGGACTGCTACCTTCACTAAATATAAAATGTGTTGTCTAATCTGCTATGTTATAATTTACTACGGACGTATTGTTATTGTACCCGCTGTTGTGGCGCTGCAAAACCCTGTTACTCTATGCACAAGTAAAATAAAGAATTGAAGAAGAGTCAGAGAGGTGATGGGAGGAAATGACTTAAAGGTATAGTCACCAGAGCAACTACAGGTTAATGTAGTTGTTCTGGTGTCTACGGCCTGTCCCAGCACACTGTTACTGCTGGAGCCAACTAATACAACATAAAAAACTCCGCACACTCACTCGCTAAACACCATCTTCAAAGCTTACAAAATGTAAACGTTCCCAAATTGGAAGGATTTTCCAAGCAAGTGGGTTAATCTTATAAGAGCAGGCATTAGGTTGGTATGATAGGACATGCCAGAAATGGGGTACAGTGGCGTCGTGGCAGGCTTATGCAATGTATGATCATATACTGTAAATATATACTATATACTAACTATAACTATGTACTTTATTTTTTTTTAAACTATTAGTTTTCGTGAGCTTTGAGGTTGTAATTTAGTGAATAGGTGAGTGCACTGGATTATATATATTAAAGACTGCTAGGAAACCAATAAACATGTTAGAAAAAATTAAAAAATAACTGCCAATGAAAAATGCATTTAGTTATTGATTTTTTTCATTGGGTACATAAAAAAACAGCTTACAAAAGTTACAGATCTCTTGTCTGCAGCCTTTACAAGCTCACACCTTCTAACTCCGCCCATTCTTTCTGTTACTGTCCAATCACAGACTTCTCAATGCAGTTCTGTGAGAAGTCTTTGCAAGGCAGGTGCTCTGAACAATTGCTTCGTCTTTAGGTTATATCCACTGAGGTAACAAAACCAGGAAGTAACAGAACCATTTGTCTGATTGCCAGCCTGGGGGGGTGTAACAAGGTTAATTCAAAAGTGCCAATTCCTACTGAAATCTGCACTTTTTATAAAATGTAAAAAAAGAGGACAGCCTTTATACATAAAACACTAGAGTAAGCTAAAGTGCTTTAGGTGTTTTAGAGTGTCTCTTTAACCCCTTAAGGACACATGATTCCCTTTTATTCCAGAAGTTTGGTCCTTAAGGGGTTAAGCAGGAGTGGTTTAAGGGGCAGAACACTTGGTAACATGTTAAACAGAGTATTCAAATGAGGATTTAACGTGAATCAATTTGCCTGCATTGGCCGAAACAGTTTTGTTGCATCCATAACTACTGCCCACAACAATTTATTTAGTGTATCAGTGTAGATCCCCTGATACAGGGGGGAATCTCATAAACGTTTAAAAGAATTTAGTTTAGTTTATATAATATTATTACCACAGAATGGGTCACCTAGCTAAGCTAATATTACCATTAAAGGATGGATCGCCAGACCAATGGCATGTACATCATTTGGATCCCTGCCAAAATAAGTATAAGAATGGCCGAGTTACATAAGGCACCTGAGCCACCATTTGATAAAGTCTTTTGTGACGAAACGCGTTATGGATATTTAATTGTGTTTTAATATTAAAGTTAATTTGGTTATTTATTTGTGCCAATTATCTTTTTTATACACATTTCTTTTATTTTTACCCTGGCTTTTTAATTATTTTTATAGTTATTTTACTGTACAATTTTATTATTATTTTTAACCATTTATTGGTTTGTACCAACAAATTGGAAGATTCCAGTACCCCAAGAAATCTTTAAGTGGGGATCAATCCACTTACGCTGTCATCATAGAGCAGTCCGCCTGCTCTCTATTTGTAAGCACGTTTTTTATTTAATTTATACCATCACCACTATACAGTGAGCACTATTGGTTGTCTCTTCTTCCTTCCGAGAATTGATCATCCCTGATGGAGAGATATCCCACCATATATATCCCATAAGCGGGGATTATACCGCTGTGTGCGCCTTATCTCAGAGCTGGACAAAAGCTCTTGTAAATGTGAGTTTTCCATTATTATCGCTCAATACGTCATAATTTGGATTTGATATACTGCACCACTGGTTGTCCGTCTTTTCTCTCTTTCATATAAGAGGACCCACCATTATATTTGAAGAATCAACCATCCAACCAGCCTCCCAATAAGACTATCTGTAAGGACTCACAATTTGGACTTTTTTATTTTGATTTTATGTGGCACAGCCTTTTTATTTGTTGTTACTTTTACTTATCTTGTTTTAAGGGTATCTAGAGGGATTCCCCTTTAAGGGTTGCTGCCTTGAGTTGTTTAGCGCTGTCTCATCCACTTATCATTATTACCTGAGCCACCTAGCCTTTCTGGCTGACATATTGAATTATTCCTTATTTTTTATGGTTTTAACAGAAAAGCTAATTCTAGATTTGTTTCATTCCCTGTATCTAGTCAGTGAACCGCATTAAAACATAAATAAATAAAAGCTTTATTCATTGATTCGATTTTGCACATTTTCTGTTTTCTGGGCCTGTATACCATTAACCCATTGAG